TGTGTGTGTGTGTGCGTGTGCATTTGTGTGTATGTATGTGTGTATCCCTCTTCCCACCCCCCTTTCTCCCTCTTTTCTTCTCTAATTAACATTGTTATCTACTCTACAACTGAACACTCTACTGAACAAACTCCCCTTTGTCAAATTACGGTCACTAATCTCCCTGTCGGGAATCTACCATAGTGATAATTTAGTCTATACTGAGTTCAGATGTCATCTGAACTTACAACATTGGTGACCCCGACGTGATCTACAAATTAAATATGATCAGCAGCCTCAGCAAGTTTTTCAAGGTCGCTAAAATTATGTCCTTATAGAATGCTGCGAACGTCTGTAGGAAGGTTGGACCGAGGAAAAGTGTCCTTTTAAGGGTGTGAGATCGTCGTTTAATGAGTTTATTTGTCGCAGTAGAGCCGTTGGTTTTCTGTCCCCTAATCCATTTAGATTTAAAAGTTCATTATCTTTTTGCGCCTGTGTTTTTCCGAAAGCTTTGACGAGCGATTTTTTTTATTGTGCTGTACTTTTCTATGTGTGGCGGGTTAGTTAGAACATCATGGACCTCCTCAGCAGTTTTCATGTCAAACGCACTGACCCCATAGTCATAGCCTGGTCTTGTTCTATGTTCTTCGTTCCGAACTGAGATTCTATCCTCGCAAACCACACTTTTGGGAACGTGGACCAAAATTCTGGTAATTTTAAGGAGACCGAACCGATTTGCTGAGTCAGTTGTCATTGACAGTAGTTGGTTAGTTAAGTCTGGAAGAAAACAACGATAATTGAAGTCTATTGGACAAAAATCTAAAGAAAATTTGAAAGATTGGCAGTAATGGACAAAGAATGATCACCTCCACTCTAAAATAAAATAGCCACCAAAGCACGCAGGTTGTTGTTATTTTTTAAGCAACACTCGAGGATCTTCTTCTTTTGATCTTTTCTCGTAGTTGGACGTTGCTTCTAGGACGGTTTTGCAAATATAACTTTGCTTGCATGACTGATAGTCGATATTGGTCCATGATACTATGAAGATTGCTCTTTTCCATTCTATAGGCCATTGTCAGCTTTTTTTCAAATCTATATTCATTGTCTGTGGTAAACATTAGTTATTCCCTCTTCTCCGCTTGCTTTTATCATTTCCGCTTGTATGATATCACATCCTGGACTTTTCTTGTCTTTGAGTGACTGGATAGTCTTTCTTTTTTCTGACCTGAGTGATGTGATGACAAGTGTTGATCTTCATCATGTTCTGCCTTTTTTGGTCCCGTTTTTGTTGTATTTTTTTCTATTTTTGGATTTTACCTTGTTCGATTACACGTACATTCCTTCATAGTATCCTTTCCATCTCCTTACAAATTTCTCTTCTCAGACTGTCAAAACATTGCCCTTTCAATCATTCATTACCCAAAGCCGAGTGTTAATGGTTTATTCTTCGTAAGCGATGTCTGTGTACCCTTTTTCTTTCTTGTGTTTCTATATTTCCCCGACACTTATCAATAGGCAACATCTTTATGTCTCTTCTCCTGCTATTGTGCTATAAGCATTGCTCTGTTTTCTGGATTTTGTTTTTGTTCTTTCCTTTCTTCCATTTCAACTTTCACCAAAGGTTGTTTTCCCGTGCTCATAAGAGGCGTATGTTGTTTCCATCAGATATACCTTATGCTACCTTTTGGCCTGCTGTCTCTATTTTTCAGAATTCATATTATTTAAATTACAATAATGAATGTTTTCAGTATGGTGCTCTGATGTGACATGCTTCTGTCCATCGATGTTTTACTGTTTCAAACATCTGTCTAGTGAATGAATGACATGGATAGATAGATAGATAGATAGATAGATAGATAGATAGATAGATAGATAGATAGAT